GGACATGCCCAGAACACTTCACCCAGGAGGCGCCCAGGGGGCATCCTTGTCAGCTGCCCGAACCACCTCAACTGGCTCCTTTCGATGTGGAGCAGCAGCGGCTCTACTCTGAGCCCCTCCCGAATGGCCGAACTCCTCACCCTATCTCTAAGGGAGAGGCCAGCCACCCTTCGGAGGAAGCTCATTTCCGCCGCTTGTATCAGCGATCTTGTTCTTTCAGTCACTACCCACAGCTCGTGGCCGTAGGCAAGGGCAGGGGCCTAGATCGACTGGTAAATTGAGAACTTCGCTTTTACACTCAGCTCTCCCACAGCACCAATCCGTCTGTCGATCTCCCGCTCCCTTCTCCCATCACTCGTGAACAAGACCCGAGATACTTAAACTCCTCCGCTTGGGGCAGGATCTTATCCCTGACCCGGAGTGAGCACTCCACCCTTTTCCGGCTGAGAACCATGGCCTCAGATTTAAAGGTGCTGATTCTCATTCCCAGCGTTTCGCACTGTGCTGCAAACTGTTGCAGTGCGAGCTGGAGGCCATCACCTGATGAAGCTCCAGAAATATTTGTTCAGTTCTCTTCAAACCCAGCAGCTGTCTATTGCAACTTTTGAGTGTCCACTAAAACAAAAACAAAATAAACGCGTTCTAAAATCTCACCTGTTTGTTTTTATTAAGGCATACATGTACCTTATTTTTATAAATAGAGATTTCGCTATTGAGGTTAAACATGATATATAAGTCACTTAGATCACTTCGAAATGTTAATGTTTGGTTTATTTCAGTGTTTTATTTGTTCCTGAGTGTTGCATCTTCAAAAAATAAATTGTACAATTGTACAAATCGTGAGTCCATTCTCCAGTGCGTTCTCGACAAGTCCAGACTCGCCGGGAACGCACGGAGCGTGGACTTGCTTACTTGAGAGTTGAGAAAGGGCCAAAGAGTGATTCAGAAGACCCGTATGAGAATATCACCAAGGGAACAGTTTACCCTGCCCAGGATAGGGTTACCGGGGCCCCGCCCTGGAGCCAGGCCAGGGGAGGGTGCCCGAGGGCAAGCATCTGGTGACCGAACCTTAGTCCATGGGGCCCGGCTGAGCACAACCTCGAAAAGGGGACAAGGGTACATCTGTCACCATCTTACAATGCTGTGATTGCAGCCATTCCCCAACTCTCTGTGAATGGGACTCATGGCCATTGATCAGTGTTTGTTGATCAATAATCTTGAGAATTTGCATAATTAAGATTAAGGAACTGACCTCCCAGCCCATTGTTCCTTCAGTGGGCTGGTTTCAGTCATTATGCAAATGTCCTGTTTATAAGATTGAAACCTGCAGTCAGCTGAGACTGAAGACGTCACCTGATGATGACGAAAAAGCTGGTGCCCTGTTGTAAAAGCTGTCCTTGAGTCAGTTTGTCTGGACCCTCAGCAGCCTGACTCTCCTGCCAGATGGCAGCAGCTTGAACGCCCGGTGTCCTGGGTGTGTGCAGTCCCGTAGGATGCTGCATGCCCTCTTGAGACAGCGAGTGCTGTACAGGTCAGGGAGGAAGTCCAGTGATTTTTTTTTGTCTTTCTGTGTGCTATGGTGCAGCTGGAGAACCACACACAGATAGAAAAGTGTGTATAAGAGGGGGCTGAGGACACACCCCTGTGGGACGCCTACGTTCAGAATGAGGGTGGAGGAGGTGTGCTCTCCCATCCTGACGTTATGGGGTCTAACGCTCAGGAAGTCCAATATCCAGCTGCACAGTGAGCTGCTGAGTCCTAAGTTGCTTAGTTTATTAACCAGTTTGTGGGGTTGGACTGTATTGAAGGCGGAGCTGAAACAAACAGCATTCTCAGGTGTCACTGTTAGAGTTTGTATTGTTGATTGTCATTTATGCTTAGAAATATTTAACCATAGATGCTTAGAGGTGTATAATCAATTGTGTAGTGATAAGTTGTGTGATCTTTAACAGGCTACATAGGCTTGGTGTGCATTCCACACTAGAATGCACACCTACATCCTGGGAGCACGGGAAGAGGTCGCATCTTGTCTTAATTGTTTTATGGTAGGATTAACGTAGCTACGTCTGTTCTAGTCTAAGTGCTTTTCTGTTTAGATGAACTGCTGGACTTCCTCACCGGGGGGGGTCCAGTCTACCCTCTTCCTGACCAAGGATGTTTGACCCTTTGATCAGCAACACACAGACAGACACACACACACACACACACACACACACACACACACACACACACACACACACACACACACAGGCAAGGTACTCTTTGTTTGTATGTAGACGTCGTATGTTAATGAACCTATGCATATTCATGTAACCTCAATAAAAGGACAGTGTTACGGGAGGACGGAGAGACCAACTGGAGTCAAGCGGTTGTCCGGTTCTCTCCCGTGCACGAGTAACATGAAGAACTTTGCCTATTTGTGTCTTGCTTAGCAGTGTAATTATATTGTCTTCAACGTTCCAGCGGATGGGTTCAAGCTACAAACCTAACAGTCACTACTGTACAGATGCAGGATGTCAGCACACTTTCAATGGAGCAGCAGTAGAAGCTCCTTCTTCAGGTCCATTTTTCTGAGGATTGTCAGAAAGTGGAGACACTGTTGGGTCTTCTTTACAACAGCCGAGGTGTTTGAGCACCATTGGAGGTCTGTGTCTATGTGCACACCCAGGAACTTGAAACTGGATACCCTTTCCACGCACTCCCCATTGATGCTGACAGGCTGCAGCTCAGACTTCCTCCTTCTGAAGTCGACTACCAGCTCTGTTGTCTTGGTGGTTTTGAGGTCCAGGTTGTTGTCGGCACACCAATCTGACAGCCTCTGAACCTCAGCTCTGTACGCCGTCTCCCCAGAGATGAGCCCCACCACGGTGGTATCATCTGCAAACTTGATGACTGCGTTGTCTGGGTGGGAACTAACACAGTCATGTGTGTACAGAGTTTACAGTAGGGGACTCAGTACACAGTCTTGTGGAGAGCCGATGTTAAGGCTGAGGGCTGAGGGAAGATGAGGCCCCACTCTAACTCTGTACACGGTCTGACAGGAAGTCTCTGATCTAGCAGGAGGTGGTAGAAGGAAGTCCGATATCCAGCAGTTTTACTGTTAGTCTCACCGGCAGTATGGTATTAAAACCAGAGCCAAAGTCAACAAAGAGCAGCCTGGTGTCACATCGCTGTTGTTCCAGGTGAGAGATGGTGGTGTGGAGCGTTGTAACAATGGCATCTTCAGTAGATCTGTTAGCTCTGTGTGCAAACTGGAGCAGGTTGAGTGTGGGTGGCATGCAGGACATGATGTGATGTCGGACCAGTTTCTCGAAGCACTTCACGCCCTGCTGACTTAAATATTGTACTGGGTCCTGTGGTTGGTTGTTGTTGGGCTGGCAGCGGGAGAGCTGCATCTCTGTGTGTATTGTGAACGGCATCGTGTGTGTGCTAATAAAGCATGCTGCAAAGCATGTTAATGTCACCGGGTCTGCCGTGGTCATTCACGATCTCTAAAATTAGAAATATCCTGTCTCAGAGTGACGCTGAAAAACTAGTTCATGCATTTATTACTTCCAGGCTGGACGACTGTAAGTCATTATTATCAGGAAGTCCTGACAATGACCCTGGCTCTGCTGGAGGTTTCTTCCTGTTAAAGGGGAGTTTTTCCTTCCCACTGATGCCAAAGCGCAGGGTATTATTGTAGGGTCTTTACTTTACAATATAAAGCACCTTGAGGCAAATGTTGTTGTCATTTGTTGCTATATAAACAAAATTGAATTGAGTTGAATCGATTCGTTCATGTTAATGGAGAATCCTCTTCACACACTGGGGTGACTGGAGTTCCATGTAGGTCTGTCCCCAGTCAATCTGAGCAATTGGGGTAGAAGAGCCTTATTTAGGTAGATGACCAAGAATGTTGGTCACTCTGATATCGCTCCAGTGTTGCTTTGTGGAGAAAGGACTACAATTTGTGCAGCATCCCACCAATCAGATCTGCATGGTGGAGTGATCAGACAGAAGTCACTCTTCCGTAAAAGATCCAAAGTTGTCGTAGGATTGTGGAGGGGTGTGGCTTGGGCGCGGCTGCAGGGGAGGCTAAGACACACCGGAACTCCATTAGCTCGTCACGCCTCCCGTGAGTAAAAGAGTGTGCTGGGACCTGAGGTTGTGGTTGTGTGTAAGAAGGAGCACCTGAATAAAGAAAAGTGTGTAAAGAGCGAACTACATGGTCGGGTCCGTCACAGTGGTGCTGAAACCCGGGAGGTGGCATGGCGGAACCTCGACCGGGCCAGCCAATGGACACGCTGGCCCGAATGGTGGTTGAGCTTGCAGCTACGTGAAGGGAGCAGGTGGTGGTGTCTCGCCGCCAGTTGGAACGGCTGCAGGACCGTTCCGAGCTCCAGATGCAACTGATATTGAGTCTGGAAGCTTGGTTGGTTCCTGACGGACACCGCCGCCAGCCTGACCGGCGTTCCTAGACCGCATTGGGGAGGGAGACGACCCCCATGGTGTTGCAGATGTCCATGCACGAGAGGGACCTGTTTTGCAAGCCAGCGGTCTGCATGCTATCTGGACCAGCTCATGCTGAGCCAGAGGTCGCCCAGAACAGGGACCTGCCCAGGCTGAGTTGGAGGTCTGCGCGCCATCTGAACCTGCCACATTCATGTCAGAGGTCACCGTGCTGTCTGGTCCAAGCGGCGTCCTCGGCAGAGGCCAGCACCGTCTGAACCTGGATTGTTTACACCAGAGGTCAGCGTTTGTGGTCTAGCCTGCCGGCGGCCTGCCAAGCTGCATGTGAGACGCGGCTTACCTCCTCGACTGCTGCGCCGTCGCTGGACACACTCGGTCGGCCCCGGACACAACTCATCCCTGCCGCTAGTCCATGGGCCACGGATGCACATGGCCATGGCCGATTGGGCTAGGCTGGATGGCTGCCCGACCTAGGTTGGGTGTGGCCTGGGCACGGCTGCAGGGGAGGCTGAGACACACCGGACCTCCATTAGCTCATAACGCCTTCAATGAATAAGAGCGTGCCGGCACCTGAGGTTGTGGTTGTGTGTGGGGCTGCAGCTGGAAAGCTGCGACCGAGTGAGCGAACTATGTGATCTGTCATTCCTGTCGCAAGGATGAAAAATGAATTTTGGAATAAAGCTGTAACATGAAAAATTGTAGAACAAGTGAAGTGTTGTCAAGACCTTTGAGGTGCATTGTGTTCATCCCGCTGTAACCATGTTTCTGTAACACAGAGCAAATTAATATATTGATAAATTACTAGCACATGTACCAGCAGCAACTTTACTGCACTGTTCTTATTATTAAATATGTTGCTGATGGACAGTTGTCTGCTGTGCTGCAGTTCTCCACCCGCTGCAGGGATTTCATGGAGAGAACGCTGAGCAGATGTTTTCTCTGACTCGTTTCTGTTCCTCATCCTCAGATTTAACTCTGATAAATGGGAAGCTCTTCCAGCCTGCATCCAGACGCCTTTCCATTCCTGCAACATATCAGCGGTTGGGCCGCGCGACACTAACGACTCGCCCGAGAACAGCTGCGTGACGCTGCGTGTGCGGGCCGAGAGACGGGGGCTGAGATCTGAGGGTGTTAACGCCTGCAGCAGATACGGTGAGAACCCTCAGATATGTGTCAGCGCTGTCTGTGGGTGAAGCTGTGAGACTCGAGGTGTTAACCATCCTGACCACAGTGTGAACCACGAGCTGCTGCTGTGCTGACGCTCGCTCTGCTCTTCCAGGTGACGTCTGCACGCCTCCGTTAAGCATTTTGACCCGGCCTGGATCACTCACCGTATTCCTTAACGATGACCACGAGCTGGCGAAGGAACACGACAGCAATGCCAAGCACATGATTTACTTTGGCAGAGAGGGAGAGAGTCCTCTGCAGGTGAGAACACGGAGTGATTCCTCCAGGTGTTTATGCTCACCTGATGTTACAGCACGTGTCACTGCTCAGAATATATCTGATATTTTTATTATTTTTTTAAAGAAAGATGTGCACATGTGTCTGTCAGTGTGTGCAGGCAGGTCCAAGCATATTTGGACAGTTTGCCTCTGCACCAACAGACAGTCTGCACAAACTGTTTCAGAATTACAGCTATTTTTACACAGTTCCCATTTTCAGAGACTCAAAGTGACTGAGAAGCAGTTTCGTGTCCAGATGAATCCTGCGCCTTCATTTTTAGAACTAAACTGAAGCCAGAGAGTCATGTGTCCGCCACTTCAGGCTGTTACTGACTGCAAGAGATTTTCAGCCACATTAAAAACTATATATATATATATATATATATATATGTATATATATATATATATATATATATATATGTATATATATATGTATATATATATATATATATATATATATATATATATATATATATATATATATATATATATAATATACATATATAAAATTCAGTTAGTTTGTCCACTTACTTTTAATTGTTTTGGTTAAATTATTATTTCAGACATCAGCAGCAAAAACTAAACCTGCATGTTTAACAACTGGAATCGCTCAGAGAGTCCACATTTTAAAATTACAACAGGAGCCCAAGCAAAGTAAATATCAAGTAAATATCTTCTAATTTCATATTGTCAGGAGTATGAAGACACCATAGCCTCCATGACCATTGAAGACCTGGAGGAGGGGCAGCGGTACTGTGTTCAGGTGGCCTATACGGTCCACGGGGACCTCGTGGAACCACGCAGCTGCATCCAGTGTGAGGTCATCCCTGCATCAGGTAAGCTGCTCTTCTTGGTGTAACGTTCCTTTAACGCGCTCCGACTCCAACCAGAGACACAGATGTAAACGACTCCGCTGCTTTTGAATCAGCTGAAGGTTTTAAAGCTGCAGCAGTAAACTCACTGCGTCTGTTTTCTCAGAACACGTGAACAGGACGCCGATGATCGTGGGGCTGCTCGTCGGCATCGTGGTCCTCGCCATTCTTGCATTGGGATACCTCGGGTTTTTCCAAACTGAGAAAATCAAACGCTGCCTACACTAACCATGGTATGCCTCACCGGTAAGAAGCAACACTGCTGCACACACTCACCACACAGACACCAGTGGGTGCTGTATCCACTCCGAGCGTGTCAGCGGGGCACGTAAAAGAGCTGATTCGACAGTTTGAAAGCCTTCTACTCACGATTACTCAGTGTGTAAGACTGATGTGATTCTTCTTGGTGACTGGTGAGTCAATGAAATGTCCAATGGTGTTAAACACTGGAGAGTACCAGAGTTTACTCGAGAAAGAAAAGTCATTTTCTGTGGTAGAAAAACTTGTTTGACCTTGAATTTCCTGCCACATAACTGGTGGGAGTGTTACAACCAGCTCTGGTCGTCACGCCAGTTTGCTCGGCTTTTGGTTTGTCTTCCTATCAGACAGCGAGTCTCACATCTTTGTATTTACTAGGGGTGCAACGATACACAAAATTCACGGTTCGGTTCGGTTCGATACTTTGGTGTCACGGTTCGATATTTTTTCGATACAAAAAAAAAATGTTCATGCCTTTTTAATTTGTCATTTATTAAAATTATAAATATATATTTTAACACAAAAGTACAGTTTTTAAATTTAACCCTAACCCTTGTGCGTGTTGTTTTTTAGCTCGTCATATTGCAGCCACAGAAATTCTTTTGTCCATGAAACCATAAAGCTGCACTTTCTTTTTGCCTTATAGTCTGATTTGTCATAACTTCTCCGTTTTGTGGTAAGCTTTTCTTTGGCTGTCACTTCTTCACCCTGACCTGTCTTATTTGGCTCAGCAGAACTAAAATATATATCTGTCTGTGAAGGTTCTCAATCATCCAGGTCATCGTAGTGAAATATATATCCTGCCGCACTCACATAAGCTCAGCGATTCTCTGCGCGATCAACCTCTCACATGTTTAAGCTGCGGGAGATTTCACTTGTCATGTTTGCATAGTAAGCTAACGATTAATAAGACGATGTCAGAGGAATTGGTGCACAAATTATCATCACTCACAGATCAGTGCTGTCGCTCTCTATACACAGTTCGCGCGATTGCAAAGTGAAAGCAAAAAAAAAAGCGCAAATTCAAACACGATTTCAATATGTCACATATTGACAGTGGCTCACCGATGCCAATGACATAATTACCCAGCTACATTTCTGAAAGAATGCAAAAGCATTGACATATATTTTTCCTTCCTACAATAGCCCGACAGGCAGGGGAGAGATAGCCCCGGGACGTCGGGCTAGCGATATTGCGAGCCCTGTATCTGATTGAGGAATCACTCATCTTTGGAAAAGAGAGTTTATTACAGAGAAATGTCTCTTTCCAAAATAAAAGCTATACTATCCGCTTCTTCTGGGCTATATTCTCAGCAGCATATTAAACATATCAGGTCCCCATAAGGAGAATCCTGTGCTAACAGCTGTCTAAATGACTCGGCTAAAGTTTGTAGCATGCATGCTTGTTTTTGTCTTTGCACTAGGATGATGTCGGTGTAAATGTGCAGTCATATTCGTTGTGTTCCCACTAGTGCTTTCAGGTTAATCTCGTTGAAATAACCTTAACGCCACAACACGGCAAATCTCCGTTAACGAGCTACCCTATACAGAGGGGCTAGACGGCCAACACGTTAACGAGCTAACTGCGCTAACACACTAGCTCCCACCCATGTAATTGAGCATTGCATGGCACATCCAACATACTGTTTTACTTTAGTCCATGACTCGCTTACCTTCAGGGTCATACGTCACATGAAAACCAAAATAATTCCAAACGCCAGATCTAAATGAGGGTGGGGAGGTCCACTTCTGTCTCGCTAGCTTGCCCTGCGCTCTTCCTTCTGACCATCCTGTCTGTGTTGAGCGCTCAGTGAATCTGCGTTCGACTACTCCGCCTAGGCTGCACTGTCGAGCCTAGGCGGAGTAGTCAAATGCAGATTCACTGAGCACTCAACACAGGCAGCATCGTCAGAAGGAAAGTTGATAAAATAAATTTTGTATTATTCTTTTTTTTTTCTCCCCTTTGGTTTTCTTTCTTTCTCTCCCCCTCTTTCTTTCATTCTTTCCCCCTGTCCTATCCCACAGTCATGTCTGTCCCGTTTGCAACTGAAAATAAAATAAATTCATAATTATAATAAAGGTCAATCAAATGGACCAATATGATGATCCACTTAAAATAAATCCTCTTGGCATCTTTCTTGGCCTCAAGACAACAATTCTGATGGCTATAGATCCAAACGGTACACAAAAAAAAATAAAAATAAAAATAAAAAAATTGAAAAAAAAAAAAATTTTGAAAAAAATTGTATTGTTCGATACATATGCGTACCGAACCGAAAGCACTGTATCGAACGGTTCAATATCGATACGAGTATCGTTGCACCCCTAGTATTTACCAACAAACACGTGACATTTCACATTTAACCAACAGAACGTGAGCGGCTGAAATCTCCCAGAGTGACACTTAGACATAAGATCGGTGTTTCACTCACACTGAAACTGACACAGAGTGAAGTGAAACACACAAACAGAACCATATTTACAACACTAGTTAACTTCTGGTAAATCGGCTCCAGTCATCACTCTTGCCTCCTGGGAACTCTCTCTATCACTTCCTCTTTGTCTTCTAACTGACACCCAACCTGTGGGCCACTGACAACATTCAGCATCAACTATTTGATTTCAAACTCATGATCCCGTCTGACCTTCTCTTCACCTCCACTGCTCACAAACACAAACGATTGCCCATCCTCCACTGGTCTTCCTGTTGACACCGCGGCACAACAGTTTGAATCCACCTCCAATGATCCTGCTCTTACTTCCCCTCTATCTGTACAACTCATAGTCCCTACATGCTTTAACTTCCTGCTCTCATGTCCACACTTCTGTCTTTCCTTCTCTCTCACTGCCTGCTAACATGCCTTCCCCCAAATCCACAAAACCCCACAACAAAGAAAAACAAAGAAAGGAAAACACTGAGCCACAAACTCTTCCACACTTTTAGAATTGACAAAGTTAATAACAGGCTAAAATTCTAACATGAAACTAAAACAGAGAGCATACTGAACCGGGAACCTTTCAGCATCCTCTGGGTTCAAAGGCACTATCAAGCTGAGCTAACCAGCAGTGCAGCACCAACATCACAGCTAAAAACACTCTGATTGGTTCTCTGCTTCTCAGTTTGACATTCACAAGAAATTGTGTTTCACATAGTAGTTTATGTGTTCCTCCTTAAAGAAGGAGCAGTTTTTACAAGCTGACCATTAAAGGTTTTAAAGCCCATGAGTTTGTCAGCGCTGAAGATGGTCAAGAGGAAAAGAAAACCAGAAAACCTGGGATCACGCCTCAGATATGGAACAATTCAAAATTGGGAACCGAAAGAAGGTAAGGTGCTTTACCACTGGGAAATAAGACAAGAAACACACAAATGACTGAACAAAAAAACAATCACAGCTAAAAGTGAAAATGAGTAAAAAAAAGGTAAAAACCTAAACAAAATAAATTAACATCACATTAAATCTTGTTCTATGGAAATGGCTGTGATAGACACACAGTGTTCAGTTCAGTTATTTGTGACAACAGCGCTCGTCTCAAGGCTCTGATATTGTAAGACTAAGACATAAGAGGCGGGAGACGTGAGCGTCCTCCGCCTGTGAAACTGTTTTGGGGGATGTGTCCTTGTTGCACCTGTTGTTAGTTTCATTAACACCAAAGCAGCTGAACCTGATTAACACCTCTGATACTGAACTAATCAGATCAATATCCCAAAGTTTCACTGACTTGATGTTGAACTGCTCCTCTATTTGTAACATTTTCTGAGCAGCGTACACCAGACACACTAAAGGCTGCTGGTCACATTAACACTATAAACTGATGTTTTCTGCTTGTGTGATTACAGATGCAGTGAGAGTCGTGTTTCCCAGGCTGCTAATGGTGACATCCAGAAGCCTTCAGCAGGCAGCAGGTAGAGGACATTCAAGAAGCTGTGCTGCTGTCCAAGACGACGTCTTACTTCTTAAACCTAAACACACAAACTTCTCAAAACAGAGTCTGATGGAGGACTTTATTATGGCAGAGCTTGTGTGTTTCCTACAAACTGGACTATCAGATGAATGAGTTTTCGGATTATTTTCGTGGGCTGCTGGGATGTATGCGTGTGGACCGTGATGAGGGGAAAACAAGATTTCTGAAGTGACGTAATAGGATAGGTTAAAAAGCTGATACTGGAGTCTGCTCAACTGCAGGAGGAGGACGTCTCCTGAGAAGCAGTTTAGAGGATTCTGACTCTTACAGTAACTTGTACTGTGTACTAGCTAGCATGACGGAGTTTCTATACAGTTGGGTGGGTGCTATGATGTTACTGGTGAACTTTATTTTATTCATATGGTTACTTAGTAGAGTTGCCAACCGTCCCCTAAAAAACGGAATCCTCTGGTATTCAGAATTAATATTACCGTTTCGTATTGAGCTGAAAATAAACGTGATTTGTCTTCAGCTACAATAAAAAAAAAAGACAAAAAGCTGGAGTTATTCTGTCTTTACGCTGTCAGATTGAACTGTTTCTGAGAGACTAATAACACCAGGATCCTTTTCTAAGTAGCTGACAGCTGGTAACTGTGCAGGGGCGGATCTAGAAAAGTGTTGCCAGGGGCCCAGGCAGGGCATTAACAGGGAAGGGGGGGCACAAAGATATACTTTTCTTTCTTATTCTCATTAAAATGTCTCGCTTTTAACAAATAATTATCCGAATCTTACAACCAAAGTTTTCATCTGATGTCAAATTTATAGAAATCCATTATTGTACGTAGTACGTTTTTTTCAGGGTCCCACCATAATTTCTTTAGAAAAAAGTACTGTACATGATGCCAGTATTTTCCCACATTTTCCAGATACTGTACAAGTACTTTGTGTAAAATGCCATCAAAAACTCAGTTAAGTTTTATTCTTTCTCACCTGTCTTTCTGTCTCCTTTCACTTATAAAAGGTTGCCATGTTAGAAAAAATATTTTGCCCTGGCATGCTGTTTATTGATGTGGTAAATAAATAGTTTATGAAAATTATAAACTGTCATTTATTATTTTTAATATTCAGTAATGGTCATGTCTCACCTCTAGTCTTCTCTGTCTTAATTTCAGGTTCCACCATGTGTTGTAGATAGTTCAGGAGGTTAACTCGACCAAGCAGTCTTGGGTTTCGGCTAAGTACTGTTTAGAATACCAGAATAGGGGGGATGGTGGAGGTTTAAGTTTATTAGACTGATACATATGTACCAACAAGACAGTGTACATCACTGTGACAACGACATTTGTTTTCATTCAAAGGCTATTTGGTTTTTCCTGTAATACCTGGTGGGCCGGTCTCTAGTCAAAATGCCCAGGCTGATTTTTTGTCCCAGTCCAGCCCTGCGGGGGACACTGAGCAGAGTGTCTCAGTGTGAGGAAGTGAGGAGCAGGAAATATAAACCCTGCCTTCCTTCGGCCATCACAGGGAACTTGAGGGTCTCTGGCTAATGAGATGGACAAGCTGTGGGCGCTGGTCAGACATCAGAGGGAGGATTGGAAGTTCACTGTGTTGTGCTTCACAGAGACATGGCCGGACCTCAGTGCCACAGTATCTGGCTTTTTCACTGTTCAGGCTGGAACATGTTACTGTGAAGGCTCTGCTCGCCAGACTCGTTACTGTAATAGGTCAAAAGAAACTAAGTTAAGCAGGTGGTGGGGGGATTCATGCAGGAACTGACTACCTCCATCTTCATGCCATGCTGTCTGCTAGATGATGCACCCCACTAGCAACCCTCAGTAAAGTTCAATCAACAGCCACAGTTATTAACGGTAGCGCTCCTCTAATGATCTATGGCACGTGGAACTTGCTAGGATTCACGTCAGTGGCCGGAGAAGGCCATGGAAAAAGACTCCCTCGAAGCTTTCTGGCCAACTTTCAGGGAACTCAGGAGGGTGCTTTCCCTCACTGTGTGTAGTACAGGTGAAGCACTGCTGGTTTCAACTCAGGATATTGTTGGGTGGTGGAAGAAATTCTTCGAGGACCGCCTTAAGTTTAGTGACATGTCTTCTGTAGAGGAAGCAGAGTCTCTGGACTCGTCCATCACTGGGGGCGAAGTCACTGAGGCAGTTAAAAAACTCCTTGGGAGTTGGGAAGAGTTCCAGCCTTAAATGGAGGAGTTTAAGTGTCTCCAGACCTTCAGGAGTGAGGCGAGAGGGGAGCAGGAGATCGACTGGTGCTGCAGCTGCAGTGATGTGGATACCAGTCTGTCGTGGTGAAGAGAGAGCTGAGTCCAAAACCAAAGCTCTCAATTTACCGGTCGATCTTTCTGGGCATGTCCCACATGCTGGAAGAGAAGGCCATGGACAGGGAGGTCTGCTTAGGCTGCTGCCCCTGCGACCCGGCCTAGGATAAGTGGAAGAACACGGATGGATGGATGACCTGAAAAGTAGGCGCCAGGGATCTGTTCATTTTTAAAGACTAGAATACTCAATAAGACTTAGACTTAGTTCCTCCTACGCCGGGCAGCGCATCGGGCAGCTAGTGATCTCCATCGATGTCGGTCAGCAGCAACTGCTTCAGCTTCGTCCCAGGCAATGTCGACAGTTCTCAGATCGTCCATGAATGTTCGACCCCATGTGGTCTTTGGTCGGCCTTGCTTTCGCTTGCCAGTGCGTGGACGCCATGTCATGGCAATCTTAGCTGGGCGATGAGGGGGTAGGCGTAAAATATGGCCCGCAAAGCGGAAGCGCCTTTCTGCAACAACATCGGCTAATGGGCGGGTGCCTGCTCTTCGTAGGACCTCCTCATTTGTTATTCGGTCCCGGTAGAAATTCTCAGGATTCGCCACAGGCCACGTTGTTGAAGCACGTTCAGGTGTTGAATAATTGCACTTGTTGAGCACCAGGTTTCACTAGCGTAAAGTGCAGTAGGGAAGACGATAGAGTTTAGTAGTCTGATCTTGACCCTTACATTCAGGGAGGTCGAGTTCCAAATAGGTTGGAGATGTCCAGGACACCAACTGCCTTCCCTACTCTGGCGTCGACATCCCGATCAAGACCCCGTCATTCGAGATGATGCTGCCAAGATATGTAAAATTCTCCACCTCTTCAGCACGTTGTTGGCTGATCATGACAGGAATGCGGGCATGTGCATAGCCAACTCGGAGTACCTTGGTTTTTTTGGCGGTGAGTCATAATCCAACTTTCGTTGCCTCCTCTGCAGGGCCGCGGTCAACTTTTGGAGGTCTTCCTGAGTCGAGCCCAGCAGGGCGATGTCATCTGCGAAGTCCAAGTCAGTGAGATTACGTGCTTCGTGCCAGGGCACACCGATGCCAGCTTGGTCAACTGATCGTCGCATGATGAAGTCAATTACCAACAGGAAGAGGAAAGGGGATAGCATGCATCCTTGTCGGACTTGTCTTGAAGAAATATGTGCAGCCGTCATCTGTCCGGACGCAGCAACGGGAGTTGGAGTAGAGACAACGAAAGGCATCTACAAACTGCTGAGGGACTCCATAGTGGCGTAGGATAGCCCATAGAGTCGGCCGGTGGACGCTGTCAAAAGCCTTCTCGAAGTCAATGAAATTAATAGAAATCTTCCTTTGGTATTCCAATGTTTGTTCAATGATCATGCGGAGGGTGAAGATTTGCTCGACGCATGACCGGCCACTCTGAAACCCAGCCTGCTCTTCTCGCAATCGTTCGTTCACTGCGTGTCGTAGCCGATTCAAAAGAGCGAGGCAACACTTTCCCGGGTACTGACAGCAACGTGATGCCCCGCCAGTTGTTACAGTCACCCAATCACCTTTTTTTGGAAGTTTGATGATGGTGCCTTTTGTCCAATCATCGGGTACATGTGATGTTGACAGCAGGCGTTTAGGAGTCTTGTAAGGGCGGCTTCAAGATGGGGTCCATCATGCTTCAGCATTTCGGCGAGGATTTCGTCCAGGCCTGCGGCCTTTCCACTCTTGAGAGTCGGATGTGATGGTGATGGTGATGGTGATTTGTCCAATATCGACAGGAAGAAGATCCATGGAAGGTGCAGGTCTTCGGCCTCGACCGTTGGGGTGGCTCAGGTTGGTTCAGAGTATCGCGGAAGTGTTCGACCCATCGTTGGTCTTGTTCAGCCTGCAGTAAGGAGGACATGTCCATTTTTGTCTTGGATTGGAACACCGCGGCCACCACGAGCCCCAGTTAGATCTCGTACAATGCGATATAAGGTTCGGGTATCGTTCCGATCGGCTGCTTCTTGGGCTTCGATGCCTTTAGCTTCGATCCATTCATGCTTTTCACGCCGGCAGCTGCGTTTGACCTGTCGGGCAAGGTCTTGGTAGGTGGCCATGGCCCTCTCACGCTGGTGAGTCAAAGGCCACCTGGTCCCGAACTGACTTTGCCAAGCGACGTTGATCTGTAAGTTCCCATGAACGGTCGGAGATCCAGCGCTCCTTAAAGCCTCCCCGTCGGTGACCAATCTTCAATTCTGCTGCACCGACCACAGCCTCTTTTAGCTCATCCCAGAGTGTATCTGGATTTTTGTTGTTATTTCCTTCCGCAGCAAGGAGCTGGCGTATTTGCGTCTTTTAGGCGTTGAACGTTAAAAGGACTTGGCCGCTGCAGTCGTGGTTGGAGGCTCTTCAGGTGAAGTTTACATTTGGCAATTAGCAGGTAGTGATCAGAGTCAATGTCGGCTCCACGCCACACTCTAACATCACTAATGGTGGATGCCCAGCGGGATGATATGCAGATGTAGTCGATCTCGCTTGTATATCCGCCACCGGGGCCTTCCACGTCGCCTTGTGTATCCGATTGTGGCCGAAGAAGGTGTTCTTGATGGTCAGCCGGTTTGCCACACAGAACGAGATCAGCCGCCCACCGTTTTCATTTGTCATTGCTGCAATTCCAAACGGGCCGATAGCTGATTCCAGGCCGTCCCGGTTACTGCTTATTTACGCGTTGAAATCTCCGCCCACGATCAGCAAATCATGGATCCTGGAGCATCGCATAGAAACCATCTTGTCAGTATCGTCAGCCTCTTCTGTTGGAGCGTATACTTGAAGAATTGTGACTTTCACATGCCTAGCTTGGAAACGAGCCAAGATTAGGCGGTCTGAAATGGGCTTCCAGGCCAGCAATAATGTTGTTGCACGTTGCGAGAGGATGAAGCCCACGCCACGTGCATGGTCTTGGGCATGGCCAGAGTAGAGCACCATCTTTCCATCACTAACCATCTTCCCGCTTCCTGCCCATCGCATTTCTGAGATGCCCAAGATGTCCATATGGTACGAGTCAAATTCATATAGAAGCTGGGCCAATTTACCTGTTTGGTACAGAGTCCGTACATTCCATATTCCATAGTCGATAATGAAATTCACTTGCTGTTTCCGTAGCAGTTGGAGTTTTTACAGGGTGGGGTTGCTAGCCCCACGCCAACCCTCCTCCTTTCTCATCCGGGCTTGGGACCGGCAATAGCAGAGTTCAATAAGAACCTCCTCAAAACTGACTTTAATGGCAGATACAATATTTTATTTAAGCAAAGAGCTCAAACAGTTAATAATAATAATAATAATAATAATAATAATAATAATAGATTGCATTTATATAGCGCTTTTCGGGACCCCTCAAAGCGCTTTACAATACCACTATTCATTCACTCTCACATTCACACACTGGTGAAGGCTACAGTTGTAGCCACAGCTGCCCTGTATGGAATCAGAAGAGACGATCATAATCACAATCAGTCAGATCGTTTTACAATTTAAAATAAAAAAGTAAAACTAAAAAATTAAAGTAATGTAATCTAAACTGTTGCTAAATATCTACTGCCAGCTTTGATGAGTTTTTTAGTCAGGAGAGAGAGAACACCTCAGCTGTAAATGAGTTCTGGCCTTAGCCACGCTGGATGAAATCCTTTCTGAGGAGAAACAAAACTTCTCAAATCTTCCTCTAACGACCGAGACTGTCCACAGTGAAAACAAGGCGAACCTTTCTATTTCTTCTTCTCTGCTCCACTTTCATCACATTGTGTTTGTTAGGAATTCTCTCTCACTTACTCAGAGAGTTAACTTCAGCTCATAATTTCTGGTGATTAAACTACACTAACTAATGGCTTTGATAAGCTTTAGAGAATAAATATAAATTAACAGACACTGAATTATCCCTCATTATCAGAACAATTTCCAACTTGCTGTGTTGCAGGTAAAGAGTGTTTAAATCTGTTATGATTAGCATCATGAAACATCTCTTTATCTGCTGCAACACACGTCTTAATTATTAATGACAAACATGTGTGTGAGGCAGCAACATTGCTCTGTACCGTAACATCATGATATCAACAACACTGGACATTTAAACCTGCGTTGGCAAATCCATCCATCATCCATCCATCCATTATCCATCGTCCATCTGTAACACTTCCAGCTCTTCAAAATCACAGACGCTCAGAAAGGTTAGCTTTTCACAGTTTATTCCTGCAGAAGACATAAAACACACTCACGGGTGTCTTCTGATGGTACCAGCAATTGTATCTCCCTCACAGTGCAAACGGCGCTGTCTTGACAGACTTACAATTAACTTTTTAATAAAGAAAATTGGAAAATAATAATTTCTCCATTTTACAGTCTGTCACACTGAACTTGTATACAAAAAAAAATCTTATGACTAATAAAAATCCATTTCACAACCGTATAAAACAAATAACAGGTTACAGAAGTCTCAGTAAACAGTATCACGGCTAATCATTGCCCTCTAGTGGACAAATTAACAATAGCGCATTACATCTTCACTTGCTTGTGCTTTACAGACAAATGACTGTTTTTTTTTTTGTTTTGTTTTTTTGTTTTTTTTGGCCTGTCCGTTTGGCTCTTTTGCCATCAGAATTGTTGTCTAAAGGCAAAGAAAGATGCCCAACAGATTTACTTTACCAAACTGACCATCCCAGCCTTGCCGTAATGGTCCCATTTGATTCACCTTTTATTTGTTTATTTTATTTTCACTTACTGAATACGGGACAGACTTGACTGGGGGAAAGAAGGGGAGAAAGAAGAGGGAAAGAGAAACAGCTGAGAAGAGGGACGGGGGAGAAGGGCAAAAGACAAAAACCAACAGAACGGGCAGAGAAAAAAAAAATGCATCTATCATCACCTGGATCACCTGCTGAGAAGAAAAAAAGAACAAGCAGAAGAGAACAAGAGTAATAGAATAAACAACTCACAATGATATATGGGAATAAGACAGTAAATACTAAATGTTAAACATTATTGTGCAGCACATAAGATCAACAGAACACAGTGTGCTTTGAGGTAGGAGCCAAAAAGGGTGTAGTTTGTGATCACCCGTGTGTACACCTGTGAGCATGGACGCGCTTGTTTTTTTAAAGGTTCCTTCATGTAATAATCTGCTAGAGGGTGTGGGGGGCCACAGCCCCGTCCTCCAGGGCGTGAAGCAGGTATGGAGGAGATCAAAACTCCAGACATCCAGAGGCCCCCAGAACACAAGAGACCAAGGAAGACCAACAGAGGGGCAGCCGCGCCACTGTCCCAGTAAGAGCTGAGGAGAGTCCCAGATGAGGGCTCATCAGCAGCCGCGGAGCAGAAGCCAGGGGAGTTGCAGTGACGCGCCCGTGAGCTCCGCCGGCAGCCAGCTGCGCCTGAGTGACCGAGCCCCAGGCCGAGAGGCCGAGGGCACCCCACCTCCGAAGTGGCCCGAGCGAGCCCCAGGCTCCAGGCCCCGATAAGCGGCCGCCAAGGAGTGAGCCGGTGTGTACCTGACGCCCATCCCCGGACACAAAGAACCACCAACGCACCGATGTCTGAGGGAGTCCGCCACTGGCAGGGGAGTGGTGGTAGGGGGAGATAGGCCTCCAAACCTTGGAGGGCCTGAGATGTCCCCAGAGAGGTGGCGCCTGACACCCAACCTGACATATAGACACAGACATACAGGCACACACAGACACAAACATCCATTCCCACCCTCATGCTCTCATATGCACTTACTCCACACTCAACCAACGTGGAGACAGACATAAAGAGACGTTGTACACACGATCACACTCCCAAGCGTACTCTACAAACCGGGTCTAGGTGCCCCGCCCCTGGAGGGGGAACTGCACCCAGACCCAGGTGGTGTTCCCTTTCCCTGCGGTGGGGGAGGCAGACCGCCCCGACTCCGCAGCAGCAGGAAGGCTCCACACTCCAGACGCAGTCGGACGGCCAACTCCTCCTCCTAGTCCTAGCCCCCCTGCTCCAGCAGGTCGCAGAGAATGGGGGTGAGAGAAGACTCCAAACCTCCCTCCACCCGCTCATTGTAGTGTTGATGCATGTGTGTTCTAAGGTGCATTTAAAACCCAGGAGGGCATGGAGCTACCTGCCAGAGAGCAGCAGGTAAGCGCATGGTCCCTCCTGCTAGCCCTCATGTCTACGTGTATTTAAAATTGAGAGGTGGGCAACGACGCCAGGGGTGGGGTGTACACCCTGATGGTACTTTGGACTCCGTGTATCGTGCCCACCCCCCAAGATCCTATATGTATGTGTAATGAGAGTGTGAGTAATGTGATGTCTAAGTTGTGGGATAAAATTGAGGCAGAGGCAGCCAGAAGGGGACGGGGGGGGTAGCCTCCTCTGCACCCTGGTGACATACCCTACTTCAAGGCCCTGCATGTGTGGGTGGTTGTGGTGGAGCGGGAAGAGGGAGGCAGCTGGAGATGGGGAGGGAAGGAAGGGAGGGGCAAGTGACCCTCCCTGGGGCCAGCTCCCCCGCTGACCCCACTCAACAGGTGTCTTCTGATGGTACCAGCAATTGTATCTCCCTCACAGTGCAAACGCGCGCTGTCTTGACAGACTTACAATTAACTTTTTAATAAAGAAAAATTGGAAAATAATAATTTCTCCCATTTTACAGTCTGTCACACTGAACTTGTATACAAAAAAAAAATCTTATGACTAATAAAAATCCATTTCACAACCGTATAAAACAAATAACAGGTTACAGAAGTCTCAGTAAACAGTATCACCGGCTAATCATTGCCCTCTAGTGGACAAATTAACAATAGCGCATTACATCTTCACTTGCTTGTGCTTTACAGACAAAATGGACTGTTAAAAGCTCACGTACCTGCAGAAGACATAAAACACACTCAACAGGTGTCTTCTGATGGTACCAGCAATTGTTCTCATACAATGTAAAACAACATCACAAAAAGCACAGAAAAACAGTAAATCCAAAACACATTTCCTGCTATGCGCAGCAATCACTAGGGGGCTGACAAAGCTTACTGCCAAAGAGCATAAATACGGCAGAAACACTGTTTAACAGCAACCAGCCTTTGTTTCGGTTACACCAGAAACTTTCTAACATCAATATGAACCTATATGCATCGACATGTACAACTTATGTACAACATTCACACCAGAAACCATAAAATGCCAGAGCCTTTCATTACAGAACTTTACCCTCACAGTGCAAACGCGCGCTGTGAGGAGCGGAAGCCTTAGCAGCTTCTAAACACTAGGGTGAGATCCGGTTTCTTGGTTTTCAAAATAAAATACAATTAAAAAAAAGATAAAATTTACACTTAAAATAATAATTAAGAACAGGTAAGTGCATGTTTTTCCAGATGTATTTGTAACTCCGTTACACATCCCTCCATCCATCCATCTATCCATCATCCATCCTTTTCCTCTAATCCATTTTCAGAGTTGCTGCAGGTGCACATTAGAAGAAAACTTAGGAAAATAATACTAAAATCAAATCAAAATCAAATTCAAATTTTATTTGTCACGTACACAGTCATACACAGTACGATATGTAGTGAAATGCTTGGACAACTGCTCGTGACCTAAAGAAAACAAAAAAGGAAAAGGCTATGAATAAGATAGGAAATAAATATGAAAAATTAAAAAGGGTAAATTTAACTAGGAAGGAATAAAATATAAATTAAGGTTAAAAATGAAATAACTGTACAACACAAATTAGAATGAAGGGTAAATTTAACTGGGAAGAATAAGATAAATATATAAATTAAAGTTGAAAATAAAATAACTGTACAACAAAATACACAATATAGAACTATATAAGAATGTATGAAGAAATCTAAATATAAATAAATATATACACAATAACAGCAGCTGTACAAGTATTAACCGGAAATGAAGAATATAGTGACCAGTGTTGTGCAAAACCAAAGTCCAGAAAGTCCAGTGTGTGTGTAAGAACCATATGTGTGGGTCAGTACTGTGTGGTGGTGTGATTGAGAGACCGTATCGCCTGCGGGAAGAAGCTCCTCCTCAGTCTCTCTGTGTTGGTCTTCAGGGAGCGGAATCGCTTTCCTGACCTCAACAGAGAGAACAGTCTGTTGTTGGGATGGCTGAGGTCCTTCACG